AGAAATATATAGTAATATATTACAGGTCACGTCGGAAGACACGTACATGGCATGCAATTATCGCTCGGCTCGGCTCGAAATCCTAAAAATAAGCCCCACCTCGATCTATGTCTATTACCAGTATTTATATATTCGCAAAGCGAGAAACGAAAGCAGGTAACGTCTTCTATTAATAGTGATACGAATGATATTACAGATTATAACGTATTGCGCGCCGGTAAACTATCCTCCAACACGTACACACACACATACACACACATACACCCGTACGCCGAGCTTTATTGCAAAGTCATGTTTCAGAGGTAGATACAGGCGAATAAAGACCCGTTTTGTCTACTTATGTCCATCACGGCGGGACTTCTCCTATCTATTACGGACATTATACCGCAAGCGGCCGACCTATCATCCGCATTGTATTTGCATGAACGATAAAAACACAATCCGGGGGAGCTGCAGATCTCCCCGCTTATCGCGGTGAACGGACGGGAACACGGACGGTCGCGAGTGTGTGCTCAAACCTGGTTAAAACCGCCGGCAGGAAGTCACGGCGGATAACGAGATTGAAAAAAAAAAAAAAAATTATGCAGTTGCGACAGGTGTTAAGCTCATTCCTAGACGAAGCCGTTCAAACGTCTGCATTTCGCGGTGCGAGCGACGTGACACGCGGCGCGTCGCGACATTTCCTTGGCGTGCACCGAACTTTTGCGGTGTCGCGTTACGTTTCCGTCCGACATCGGAGTTGCGAGAGTCAATTTAAATTTGCAACGCGTGGAGATTTCACTTTCAGCAGATAGATATAAAATATTTACTTGGAGCCGAGAGAGACTTAGATCTCTGCGTTCGCAGAGGAGTCTGCTTCCCTTTCTGCACGTGCATATCTCATTTCTCGTAAATTAAAGATTTTCCTACATTTAAAACGGATTTATTTCTAGCCGTAGGCTTTCGAGGGCGATATTAATTTGTCGAGAGACAGACACATCGACGCGTTTTCTCAGGGACGCGTTTCACGAACTGCGCCGTACGAACGCGCGGAACGAACGTTATATGACATGAACCTCCGTCGCGGGTGCACGCGCACCCGAATGCACACAGGTTAAACCCGGCCGCGAGAGAGTGGGTGCACCGTGCAAGATATAACTCACTCGCTGCATCCCGCTCCATCGCCCTCGCCATTCCCCTCGCAACCGCCACCTCGTCTCACCTCATCGAGTGCATGCGCTCGCGACGTGTACATATGTACGCGCTCACGTGTGTGTGTGTGTGTATATATACTTAAAAAGCAATGTACGCGCGTGATATGGTGCTGCTACGTTGACCGTGGTCAGGATTGGCTCGACCCATTTGTTAAGCCCGCGAGCTTGCGAGCGAACGCGAAAAGTGCATCGAAGTGAGATGAAGCCGTTTCCCCTCCTTCCCGCTCCTCGCCGCGCGTCTTTGGACACACAGAAAAAACAAACTGCGCGTAAAAAGAGTCCGTGCGCGTTTTATCGTATACGCAACGGGCGTGCGTGTTTCTGAACGTTACAGCGCTTTGAAACGATCACCAACGTTTAACATTGTTTACCTCGGCATAGCTGTCGCGCACTGATAAACATTATCCAGACGTCGTTATGTCAATGATCTTTATCTGGCTGGTATGTGCTTACGTGCCGCAAAGCATGCATATTAATTAGGAATTGTATCGTGCAACAACGTAGTAAAGTGTATCGCGCGCGTTATCTCATGGCGTTGAAAAGGGCGCCGGAAAAATTATAAATTACAATCGCTGACATTATATGAACTATTCGAAACAGCGTAACACGTCAAAAAAAGTAACGAACGTTAAAAACACACATATCTGGATAATATTCACTTGTGGGCAAGCGTGCATTAAACAGAGGCGATTACACGTTTCGTTATTAAAAATAGAACGCGAGAAGTCGTGTTTAATACTCAATTAACAACTGAACTCGTTCATTACAGTGCAGAAACCAAACAGATGCATTTGACATGTGAAATGTAATTTGCGTTTCTAAGCTATTTCCAGCAAGCCGATAAATGAATAAATATATACGTATACGCGTAGTGGTGCGCGCGGAATAAATTACCTTTATCGGTGAGGGCAAATTTATCAGTAATGCAAGAGCCATTCCGATTACATAACGACAAGCTGTTTAATGGGCTGATATCGTATTTGTCTCGTGTCGCGATTAAATGGATAAGCAACGTATCTGGTGATGATTTTCGTGCGTTACGTACAACTTCGGTGTCAAAGTTATACATTCCGACGCGCGAGGGAAGTTTGGGAAATAGTTTTCCCCCTTAACGTCGCCGTAACTACGGAGGGCGGATTTATTGTCGTACTTGATTCCTCTGCGCGGAATAATGCCATCGGATAACGTAAAGCATAAGCAAAACGCTTTCGACGAGGCGATGAATTATATAATATCCAGATATACGAAGCAGTGTCTCGAGACCACCCCTCCACTCCCGCGCTGCTGCGATTAGAAACATATAAATAATGTAACGTAACGTGAAGCGATTAATATATGAGATATTACTTTATTATGGTATGTCGCGTACATTGATCATTTGTTTACGCTACATACCAATTGTAATAATCCGTTTGACGATGACAATGACAGTACCGACATTTAACTTTTGTTACTATGGCGTACACTATGTTTTATATTTCTTTACGCCATACACTGTGTGCACACAGCTTCTTTTACATTCTTCATATTAATGAAATTACAATGACACGTTGACAGGCGAGTGATGCGGTGTGAAACACATATGATTTAATGAATACTTTTAACATGCTTCACTGGATATAAAACAGTATTTGTGCTACGCTAATCATATGCTATAAAAATAGAAATTTTTCTTACGGTATAAATTTTGAAGAAAGAACCGAAAAGCCATTAGACTGTAGAAATATCAATAAACAGCCCAATAAATATACGCAATTAATTAACTTGGAATGTATCTGTATAGACACCGAAATTTACACGAATTTGGTTTGTTTATTAACCTTCGATAAACATCTTTAAGCCTTAATACGTAAATTGCCAAACATCTGCGTATTATGAATGAGATTTGAGTCTCTAGGATTCGTGGGATTAGAGGATACGACGATCGAGGGACACGGCGCAGTACAACGGTGATGAGCGTATGTAAACACCAAGTCGAGCCGGAGCGCGCGGCATGCTTGGAGTTATTTATAGAAACCGATTATTGTGCAACAAACGCGGCTTTACGTAACGCGTACGGCGGCACTGTATGTACCCCGGCTCTGTCGGTCACTCGGCTGTACACAAAAGGACACACTTTCCTCGCGCCTTCCTGCTTCTTTGTTCTACGATCGTTGTACTCGTGAGACCCCCCCCCCCCAAAAGGAAAAAAAAACACGCCGCACACGGTCGAAGACGCAAAAAGTGACTCGGCATACTTCTTTGAACGAACCGACGGACGCGATGTGTGTCGGCTTCGGATTGGAATGACGAAAATCACTTCACGATTTTACGAGCTTATATATGTATTTATAAACAGCGATTTTACATAAGCCCTTTTTCATCGCCGGATATTACGAACTGCGAGATTTATATAACTGTTTGTTGACGCATTGTGATATAAAATCAACAACACGCTACAGATAAAGCTCATACTCGGGTAGATATTATAAATATAAATTTAATCCTAATACAAATATACATCCTTTGTATTTGTAAATTTTTATCGACAAACCTGAACTTACGAAAAAATTCAATCCCTCGTTAAACAAGTAACGCAGTTCCTAGATATCATCGATGTAAACCTGGCGTCCGATTTTGCAAAAAAATAAAAATGTATAATGTATCCTAGACAACGCAGTAAAAATATAGCAAAAAGTGTGCCGAAAGAAATAAGATAAATAAATTCTAATCCGAGCTAGCGCGTTCCGTACAGGAAGCGATTATCTCCCTCCGATCCCCCGTACAAACGAAAGATATTCCTACGAAATTACGAGTTTTGCATTACGTAAGAGTGAAATGCGGATGCGCGCGCGGTAACGGAAGAAATGCCAGACGTCGCGAAAACCGGGAGAGGCATCCGCCGCGAACGAACGAACGAACGAACGAACGATGAACGGGGCGCGCGCGCCATGCTTGTTGGGCGTGAACGCATGGAGAGCGCGGAGATTCGCGAGAGTGCCGTGCCGTGCCGGTTCGGTCCGACGCGGTGCGCGACGCGGCGCTACGCGTCCCTGCGTTTCCAGCGGAAAACGGCTTTCGGGGAGCCGCGACGGCGGCGGCGGCGACGAGGAGGCGGAGGAGGAGGAGGCGGCGGCGGCGGCGGCGGCGGCAACGGCGGCGGCGGCGGTGGCGGCTGCAGCGGCGGCCGACGACGCAGCGTCGCGATCACATACACATCAGCCAGCAGCAGCAGCAGCCAGCAGCGGCGGATATCGGGCGACGGGCGCCGGCCGGCCGGCCGGCCGGCTTCAACAGCTGTGCCCGCGCTCTCTCTCGCGCGCGGCTCGATACGCACGCACCTCTGACGCGAGCCAGAGCCGACAATGCCGACACACCGCCGCCCCGATGCCACGGCGGCAGCTTACGTTTTATACGCTCTCGCAAACAGGCCGAGGCGATAAGCGGGTCGGGCACGACACTCTTTCGAGAGAGAGAACCAATAAAGATCGCTCGCGCTCTCGTTTCCCCTCGTCTCTCTCTCTCTCTTCCTATCTATCTGTCTCCTATCTCTCTTTCTCTTTCTTTCTCGCCCGTCCGCTCTGCCTTTTTCACTCCACTCTGTTATGAAGCGTACCGCACGTATAACCTCGTGTCAAACGCGGGCACAGGGTATATATGTGTACATGTGTGTGTGCCTATATATGTATATATACGCGCGCACGCATACGTAGACTCATGGCGGGTACTCGCACACTACACCATTACCACACACACCGTTACTACCACTAACGCGCGCATACCATCCCCTTTTTTCTTTTCTCAGAAAGAACAGATAGAAGGACTCACCCACACAGGTCAGCTTCCGGCTGGTCAGTCGACTCGACGATTTCCTCGAGCAAAATCCGATCGTTACCACCAAACACTGACATATCTCGTCAGTCCGCGGCACCAAGAGTCCCCGCCGAACGAATTTCACGTTCCCGACGGCCGTCGTCGCCGCTGCGAAGAGATGACGGGTCCCGCGCGCTGGCTCTCCTCGGTGTTCCTCTTCTCGCGTTATCTCGCTCAACACACTTTCCTCGCGCACACTTCTTTCCCGCTTTCTTTCTCGCCCCGCTGTCCGTCCGTACGTCCGTTTCTCGTTCGTTCGCTCGCTCCTTCACTTCGCCGCCCGACCGCGCACTCAACTCCGGGGCGGAGGAGGGGGACAACGCGCGTTTTATCAAACGCGTCTCTCCGCTCGCGGCACCGATGATACGTGAATATATATATATATATGTATATAATTTATATATATATATATATACGCGCGATACTCGCCACTTCCGGCTCACGCCGTGTCTCGCGACGACCCCGTTTTTCCTCACCTCAGGCAGACGCCGGCGACACGCACGGGAAGATTCGTCCACGGGACAGCCACACGCTCCGCGCGGCGCGCACACACAACGCCCGAACGCGTTTGTAATGGCGATCTTTGGCGGGAAACAGCTGAGGGCCCCCACGGCGCGGCCGTGGATCACTCCGCCGCCCGGCGTCAGGAACGTCGCTATGCGGCTCGGGGCACGGGCGCTCCTTTCTCCACCGCGGCGGCCACTTTTCCTACACTCGCGAAACGACACCACCGGATCGCCGGGGATCCTCGCGCGCGATTTTTTCGGACGAATGTTACACAACGACGGACTCTCGCCCGTGATCGGTTACCACACTCGCGTGAAGTTGCACTCGCGTCAACTCGAAGACACTCGGCCGCGTTCACGCGACACACGATGACAACGTCCCAATCGATGTCCCACTCGACGTTCCGTATCCAGTCTCTTGCACCTGCTTGCGTTTGGATCCTCGGATACCGGCGCCGATTTTAAGACGCGGGGACGCGGAGCGACGCTCCGCGTATCGCCGTACGCTCGTACGCCGGTAGAATCATCGCGACGCGGGCCCCGACTCTCGCCCGCGTTCGCATACGTCAACGATGGTCCGCGCGAGCGCGCGCGCGCGCGCGACAAGTCCGTGACGACGTACGTTGAACCGCGTGTGTGCACGTTTACACGGTGTACGCGTCCCCGCGTGATCGACCGCGCCACGGTTATCGGGCCGGGCCGAAGCTCGCGCGACGAGCAACGTTCGCGGTGAATCTCACGCCGGGGAGACCAGACACACTCGCCGAAAGTCGCGTCCACACGCCGGTCGCGCTGCTCGCTGTCACAATCGCAGGCGGCTCTCTCTCTCTCTCTCTCTCTCTCTCTCTCTCTCTGTCTTTCGTCGGCTCCGCTCCGACGGACGAGGGGGAAGCCGCGCACTTCGCTCTGCCCTGAGCGGCGACTCACTTCAGACCAATCTCCCGTCAGCTCATCCTCGCGTCTCCGTGCTGCGCGAATTCCGGCTACCCCGACGGTCTCGGCGGCCGTCGCGGATCGCTCCCTGGCACGACGTGAATCCGCGCGTTCGCCCACGTAGGTGGCCGGCGGTCCGCCGCTCGCGGGAAATATACGACGCCACGGCGCGGGACTATTTGCGCGTCGCGTAGGTTTACGCTAGAGGAATGACGCGGCCGCGCGGGAAACATCTGCCAGCTGGCCAAAGCCCCGCCCATAGAATACGCGAGTCTACTCGATCCCCCACCGCCGTTTGCCGGCCGCGCCGTCCCACTCTCTCCCCGCTATCGCGGTCGCGAGCGTAAGCGCGTACACGTAGGCCGACCATCTGTACACGGGCTACGGTCGGCGGGCTCGCACACACAGCGAACGGCTTTCCCACCGCTGCTGGCTGCGACGCAACGCGCCGCACCACGCCGTACTCCGCGCCGCATCCCACCCCGCCGCGCCGCGCCGCGCCTCGCCTCGCCTCGCCGCGCTCCATCTCGCCGCGCCGCACCCTCTCCTCTCTACTCCACTTCTATCCGCTCCGCTCCTCTCCCCGCGACCTCCGTCTCGCCGCGTCGGCCGACGCTCGCCCAACGCGTCACGCCGCGTTTTACGAGGCGCCGGACGCGTCGCGAAAGTAAGACGGCTCGAGACCCACCGGTCGTCGTAAAGTGTAAACGCGCGTCTTGCACGACCTGTGCTTGCGCATTCCAACATGTCGACCGACGCCGCTTTTACCTAATTACACGAGTATGACCGCCTCCTCTCCACATCGGTTATACGGATGCTACTTTATATGTCCGAAGAGACCGTAGAGCTCTGAAGACGCGACAAATCGATGAAATCGGACAGTTCTCTAATGCGCGCTCCGCGTTACATTAATTATTACCCAGCACGACATCCCGCGGACAAACTTTAATTAATAATGTCCCACTGAGGGATAATACAAAATTTATCGCCTGGTCGATATTAAATATCTGTGTTACCGGCGAAAGGTACTCGTGGAATTAATTATCGTACGCGATTCAGTAAAGCCTGTAAAGCTGTACACACACCTACAACAACCTACACTATTTCAATTTTTAATCAAGAATGAAACTCATTGGTTAATTCGCAGATATATTCATGCGATAATCGAATATATGCAATATCCCGACAGCTTTTTATCAACCGCGAATTTCTGATAACAATGTAGTTTCGATTTAACATACATGTAAAAAATTATCGCCCGTGTTGGATCAGCGGCTTTTGCAACATATTTAATTTTTTCAATGGAAAACAAGTAAAAATAATGAATTAAATTTTTAGCGTCTTTAATTCAATTCATAAACTACCCAGATAGCAAGCTAACTTGTCATTTTAACGTCAAAATATCGTCAAAGACGTAATTTTGATGTCAAAATGACGTCACTTTGTCCGGACCGTTACAGAGAATCGTCTTTTATCATATGGTATATCATTAAAACCATAAAATGTAAATTATTTTTATTTTATTAAAAATTGTGACGTATTAAATTATGAATTTAATATCAAATTTATGATTTAAGAGAAACTTATGATACTGAATCCAATAATAAAAAGACGTCCCACAATATAATTGCAATTCTTCCTGCAAATATCCATTTTATTTTCTTAACCCTCTATAGCCTACATCTTATTTTTTTCACTCGTGAAAATGTGGAATGTTACATCGCTGTAAATCTAATGCCACAATAAGAAAGACGACGAATACAAATAGAGAAACTGATATGTAACGTCAATAAAACGGCATAGAGGGGTAAGATGTATAGTAACTACTAAATATCTTTACACTTCTTTTTGTCTAAGCGTTGATAATGATAAAGATAAAAAAAATTCTATATTATCGAAAGAGATCGTGCGTCCCGTGTCTCGTAATAATATACCCCTATAACGCTTCGTTCAATTTTGCGATTGTCTAAAGTTAATGCTGAACATTCGTAAATCGAGATACAACGCAAGATTTAAGTAAATGAGATAGCTATCGCAGATCCCGAGTTCCAATTATAATTTAAGCACATACGGTACGAGCTTTTTAAAACATAGTCGGTATTGCTCTTTTGTACTTACGGTTGCGCGATTCTTACTCGACTAAAGCATAAATTTCTATACGTGTGTTTTACACGATAATCTCAGATAATCTTAGAAAAAAATTTATCGAGTAGTATCGAATATCGAATAGTTTTTCTTCTAAAACTAAACCAATCCTTAGCGCTAAGTTGTTTTCTACAAAAACAAAATAAATTTAATGGGCGAGCAATAGACTATTACGTGGTCTCGAGATATAAAAAGAGCAAAGAATTCGATAAATTAAGGTCAAAGCTTTTAACCTTAATCCCTTTAATGCCCTTACATATAATCCTTCTTCGATGGCATAAGTTCAGTAAATCGAGTAACGTATCGCCGATGTATCGCGACATATTTATATATAATTGTTGCACATATCATTTGATTCTGAAGCTCGCAAAAGTTAGCGGAGAATTTCACGAATTACGAATAAAGATCCAGAAGCTTGGACAGCTCGACGCATAAAAACGGTTTAAAATTTACAACTTTTGTTTCTGCACGTGTTATTAAAATTCTGTGATGATTCGTGTATGAAAATGCGGGGACAATAAAATGTTGAGATTCATGCGAGATATTCTTATGAAACAATCTACTCGGAAAAACATTAGACAAAAAGTATTGAAATCCAATTTCGGTAAATTTCAAACTGTCGAATAAATAATTGGCGAGTAATCGTACTACTGCGTAGTACTAAAATAGTGTTCAAGAGCCGAAGAGTGGTATCCTTTCAATTTCACCCGACTGCTTTGATTCGCCTTAGAAGTGACTAAGCGATATATGGATACAATGTATATTATACGTATGCATCAGCCACTTTATTATAAATTTATACATAAGCCATGCATAGTCTCGTGGTGCGCGACGTCGCATGTCATGGTCTAGGGAGAGACGGCTAAAATTAACACATCACGCTACATATAATATATACAAGACTTATATATCAATTTTTTTTCTCTTTTCAGTTATATATACAACTGTATTCATATATATACATATATGTAGACATATATGTAATAGATATTATATATATAAAATATATATATGTATATATATGTTACGCCATATGTGCAGAGTGAATTGATAGATTTATTAAAATAGACGGAAATGTATTCCTCTGTAAAAAATTGTGTCGTGTCCCTTAACATTGATCGGTATCGGATTGATTAAAAAAAAAAAATGTTCTTTGTACTTTGCGGTTGCTTTCTCTTTTTAATATAACTGCATTAGATTACTCTGTCGAAGCGTGTGTACGTGTAAAATGCACAGCGCCTGAACTTATTTTCATTTCGTTTCATTGTCCGAGTAAACTCATTTTTACATCATAACAGTTTGTATGTGGTTGATGCATCCGTATTTTTAATGCAATTCATGGATTTACAAATAATGCTGCGGTTGAAAGAAAACTTCAATATAAAAACACAACAGAAAATATCTCACGTATTTACGAGTGTGTTAAGTGCAATATACGTACATCGAGTTTTTCTTATACATGTATCAGATATAAATATATAAATATGTATATATATATATATGTGTAATGTAAAACATTATGAAAAAATGTAATTCCAATTTTTTTTCTACAATACAATGGGCATTGTAAATTAGATGCTGTTTGATTTAAAAAAAGAGCAATCCATTCTAGAATACAATTTTTATGTAGGATTTGTAATCTATTTTTTAAATGCAGTGTAAAAAAATTACAGATTTAAATAATATCTAGTTCATTAAGACTATTAAAATTAAGCAATTTTACTTATTATCAGAATATTATATAACGTATGTTCTCAACATCATAATTTTTGCTTGATATATTTCTTTGGACAATGGACAATTTATATTAATCCTCTAGTGCATATTTGCAACGTTCACTTTAATATGAAAATCGGGATAAATTCGAAATTTGTACAGATTTAGTTACATTTAAGAACTGAAAATTGCAATGTAATATTGAACATTAAAATATAATGCTTCTTACTACCAAAAAGTTATTCGTCGATATCCACTGATACAATATGTTATCAAATTTGTCACTTGTAAAACATTTTTGAGTAAAATTGACTTTAAAAAAATTGTTTTTTAAATCGATTTTACTCACATTATATATTTTTAACAAAACAATTTTTTAAAATCAATTTTACTCGAAAATGTTTTACAAGTGATAAATCTATCGCAACATACTGTATCAATGTATAAAAATTTTATTAATCCTCTAGGAGCGACATTAAAAAATATGATAGATTTTTTACTTGCAAAACATTTTTTAGTAAAATCAATTTTTTTTAAATCAATTGTACTCAAAAATGTTTTGCAAGTAAAAAATCTATCATATTTTTTTTAATGATGATGTCGTCTTTAGAAGATTAATAAAATTTGTATACATCGATACAGTATGTTGCGATAGATTTTTCACTTGTAAAACATTTTTGAGTAAAATTGATAATAAAAAATTGTTTTGTTAAAAATGTATAATTTGAGTAAAATCGATTTAAAAAACAATTTTTTTAAGTCAATTTTACTCAAAAATACCATTTTACAAGTGAAAAATCTCGTATTATCGTATTTTTTTAATGACAATGTCGCTAGAGGATCAATAAAATTCTTATAAATAAATCATATATGGAATGAGAGTCAAAATAAAATCTGGAAAGTCTCAACAAATTGATCGCTTGTATACAGAACGGCATGCATTATTTCTTATTATCAAAACTAAAATTACTTTTTAAATTATTACAATTTAGAATTATAATAAATTATAATAATTAAAATTTAACATGAACTTATTGAAACTTTTCTATTGCCAGCTCTACTTACACACAATGCGATCGATAAATGCAGAATATAGAAAATTATTTTTATGTAACATTTACAGTTTCAGAATTGTTTACAGTTGAAGTACAAATTAAAATAAAGAAATAAAATGATTTATCTGAACTAAGACATCAAAAATTAAATCCCAACTGTCCTCTAGAATGGAAAAGTCTTAAATCATGATAAATCATACAGCATCTAAATTTTATGCGTTTTAAACTATAAAAAATCTATTAACACTTCTTTAGTACATCAGTAAAGTACGTAACAAATAACGTACGTACCAAATTATATTAAAGATAATTTTAATTATCGTTATTTCACATGCCTTACCTGTAAATCCATGTCTAATTTGCGTAATGATGAAACTTATTTATAACGCTAACTATATATACTAGTTTTGTTATAATAATTTCTTCAATCCTAGTTTCAACCTTTCCTGAGCTGGATTTACTTTGATTTTTAATTGCTGAATTAAATCAAATATCTTTAGAGAAGGTCCAACTTTGAAACCGGTCAGGTCTATTATTTGGTCCTTAGTGAGAGTCAGCAATGTCTTTCCATCTATTTTACGCTTACTGAAATTGTCGCAATACGTCGCACAATCATTAACTCGAAGAAATTGTGCAACATCAAAGACGTTCCACTCAGATGGCACTAGATCACCAGATTCCGAACTTCTTTGCACACCATCTGCTAGCCTTGGTATATATTTATTACTTGCTGGAGTAACCTGCAGATAAATCAAAATTTAGTCTACAATTCCAACTATACACTCTTAGACATTCATGGAAATGTGATACCTACATTAATATATGACGTAGCGGTTCTCTCCTTGGGTGGTGCAGGATTCTGTACTTCGCTCTGCGTGTCGTTCAATGCTTGACCTTGTCCAGTAGTAGGACTAGGTAAAGTTTGGTCAGGTCCAGCTGGCTCTTGCGCTGTTTCCGGCTCTCTGCTCCTCTGCTCCGGTAGACTCTCTACGTAACGCTGCCTTTCAACTTTCGTTCCTTGAGCAGGTTCCAATTCCCGCCCGCGTTCGCGAGCCATACTAATACGTTCGCTCTGACGAGGTAGTATATTCTTGGAGCAAGACAGCTTGCTACCTTTCTTCATTCTTCTCTTAGCTTTACGTTTAAGGCCTCTTGGTGATTTTACTGCAAGAATATATTCATAAATATAAAAATATACGTACGATTGTGGACATATTGGTTGACATTTTTTTTTTTTTTAATAGGTTTCGAAACGCACTAATATTTTACACGATTGGTGTATGTACTGGCTCTAGACTAAAGATAGTACACCATCGTGGTTCGCATTTGCAAAATATTAGTGCGTTTTATGTAATATATATTTTATAGATTAGTTACCTAACCTATAAAATATATATTATATATATATTAAATATATACTAAGAAAATATGAAAAAAGTGTCGCAACCGATAATTCCACGATTGGATAACATGAGTATAAATGCGCACGCAATTGGTACGCACCAGTAGGACTAGTGTTTTTTACAAGTACACGCGGCCCTTCCAATTTGTGGTCGACAAGATCACACCAGCCAACGGGATAAATATCTGGACTTTGACAATCTAACCATTGATCATACTCGTCTTCCCAACCATCGAAATGTACTCGCAGCAATCTGCCAATCACCCTGGTAATAGTAGCAACACAAACTAATCTAGGGTCCATTAAATCAGCAGCTTCGAGTCTCATTCCTTCGATAAATCCATGTTGAGGAATTTCCTGAAGATATACATATGAAAAGTTCATTTCGCAATTGCAAATTATGAAGAATTACAAGCTGCATTTATAAATATTTTAGAAAAAATTACCCGATTAAATAACTGCATAGGAGCAGGTATGCTGTTGGTCTCCGTTAGATATGAGTCCCATGTGAATGTGGTAGAATCGTACCCCTTTGGCGGTGTCAAGGGTAAACCGTGCTGGGAACAAAAGCCAACTGGAAAGACGCACGGTGAACACGAATGATAGCAAAACCAATCAGCGCCGCTCGCGTCTTCGTCGTAACTGTCGATGCGAATCATAATGTAATCCTTTTCCAAAACGTGCATAACCGTCGCCGCGCATATAGCCGAAAGATTGAGCGGGTCGATGGCTTCCATTTTCATCCCTTCCTTAAATGTGTACGCGAGATGCATGTGATGATTCTTTGGCACATGAAAAAGATTCTCCGTCGCATCGTCCTCGGATAACTTTGATTTAGAGATACGGTCCAAGTACTCGGGATATGCATCCAGCGTCTGTCCCACTCGTCTGGCCCAACCGACTGGATGTATAAGCGGCGAGTCCTCGTGGCACCAAAACCCGTTATCCTCCGGCGGCGAATCGTAATATCTCACGTGCAAACGTTTACCAACAATCTTCTGTATCGTTGCCACTTTCACCTGCGAGATTCTGTTTTTATCTACCACTTCTAAATGGAGACCACATCGAAAACGAGATTTCATGCTGTCGTTCACTTTGTTGTAGAAATTTGTTGGCAACGTCCTCGCACCGGTTAATCGCCTCATCAAAAAATCCTTCCAATCTTTGTACTTGTTTGCGATCGCTGAAAAAATTAATATTAATCAATGCCGATAAATTTTCCCGCGCGCACTCCAAAATTAATACTTTTCAACGAATCTTATTTCCTATTCAATCGTGCATTATCGATTCTGTTGTAAATAATTTCGGTTACGTACTGTTAGGTGGAATAAGAGGTTTTCCAATTGTAGCACACCAACCAACGGGATGAATATCATTAGAGCAAAGGGATACCCAAAAATCTTTGTCTGCATTGTGCCCGAAACCTTCGTACCTTAACAGAGCTCTGTATCCGCATATACGTAATACAGTCGCGACCCAAAACGAATCTGGGAAAGCCTCACACACTTCGTCACAGTCGGTATTTTCTACTTCCACTTTCATACCCACCGTGATATTATCCCAAATCTCTGATATGGGAGCCTAAACAAAGTCAATGATATAACGAGAATCTGTGAAACTACAAGTGTGAAAAACAAATCAAAGCCTCTTAGAGAAATAACTAACATGTTTGAAACAAGAGACTGGCGCAGCGCAAAATCCGTGTTCAACAAGCTGTGGTGTCCAGTCGTAAGAACCTGCCATTTCCGCTGTTCTCTTTCTTCTAACTGGTAAATCCTCTGGCATTACTGGTTCTAATTTAACTTTGTCTTTTTCTGCTTCGATGGATTCCTTAACATCTACTTCTTCTTTTACAATCTAAGAAATTGAAACGTTTATATAATAAGAATATACAGAATAGCTCTCACACATTTTCTGTAAATTCAGTATTAACTTACATCCGTCGGTTTTGTTTCAACAGAGGACATTTGATTCGTAGATATTAGCTGATCCATCGAGTGAGATGGACTATAAGTGGAGTCTGCAGTAGGCGTTGTGCGTTCTGAAGAACGCGCACACGCTCTGCTGCAAAATCTACGCTCCTTCGTATAAAAGGCATGTTTTACTCCAATAGCACCACATTTTGCACAAACAGCTGTTAAATAAAAAGTTTCAATGCAGCAATTTTTTTATGGCAGGAAAATATAAATGATCAAGTTAATTTAATAGTTGTTCAAGTCTTTCTATTTCTTTTTTTTAGTAGTTTTAATTGTAAATTATTATTTTTCTATCAAATATAATTTTTTGCTCGAAATAATTAAAAAAAAAGTCAGGGAGGAACGGCCAACAAATTGAGCAAATAAGGTTAGGTTTATTTTAAACTTAACCTTATTTGCTTAAATTAAAATTCAAAAGCGTCATATAACCTCTCTGTATAGGTTGAAGGCGCAAAATCACCAACCGGTGATACAACACTAAAAACCCCAATTAAAATTCAAAACTTTATTACATGAAGTAAGAGAACGTTTCGACCTTACTTGGTCTTCCTCAACCGCAAAAAGTTACATATAAACGAAAGAAATTACATTAAGAAAACAATAAATGAAGACAATCAAAAAAATTACATAAAATAAGAGTCAATAAATACATTGGACAGAAGCAAAACTAATAAGAGTTAAATTTACAGCGCAGACGCAAATCCCGTTGTTAGGATAAAAATTAAAAGATATAATATAAAAAGAGAATGATAAAATCATTCCATGTCCAAAATTAATGACTATAAATTCGTTCATCGTTCGAATGCAAAAAGGAGTAAAGTCAATTATAAAGTGAATGTCCATAAATTTAAAATTTAAAAAAGTCAAATTCAGAGATTGCATCAGCGAAATGTGACAAAGCTGCTTGCTTCGAACTTGGAAATCTAAGACACTTATATTTCTAAATTCAAAGCAAATTAAATTCAAAGCAAGCAGCTCTGTCACATTTCGCTGAGGCAATCTCTGGATTTTACTAGTTTTATTTTTTATTAGTTTCTGTCTAACGTATTTATTAACTCTTATTTTATGTATTGTACTTTTTTTACTAAATTTTTTTGTTTTCTTAATTCAATTTGTTTTGTTTATATGTAACTTTTTGCGATTGAGAAAAACCAAGTCGAAACGTGTTCTCACTTCAAGTAACAAAGTTTTGAATTTTAATACCCTTATTTGCTCGATTTATTAACCGTTCCTACCTGACTGTATTTTTCTATGTTTAGACATGTATTTTAGCTTCATAATGATCATACTTACCTATACCATCTTTGCGAATAGGAATAAAATTTAAATCAGTATGAGGCTGATAAGCAATTGGCGTTTTTAAAACAAGTCCTGGATGCTTTATGGGTTTTATTTTTCGATTGCGATTGTCATGTGTAGTCTGAGTCGCCGCGTTGCTCACAATTTGCTCTCGTTCTTCATCACCCATGTAATCTTCCAATGACAAATATTCATTTATCTCGGGCCTCTCGGACTGCGAATCGTAATCCTTGAAAATTAGAGAAAAATCATTACTATTAAGAATACACGCATGAAAATTGATTAGATCTGCGAGAAAACAAAACTCACTCCCATCTCATGGGCGTCTGCAGCTTCCATCGCTTCGTCGGGCTCCGAACATTCATTTGAGAACTGTTGTGGTATGAGGCGCACCATAGTGGTAGAAGCCAGGTGGTTTCGAAGATCTTCGTAGGGATTTGAACCGTGTGAGAAGAATGGGCTCTCATTTTGGCGAGGATCCAGCATGAGCTCGTGAGCGGGCTCCCCCATCATCATATCCGCCATCCATACCATCCCTAGTTGTTCGGGAAATCCAGGGATGGAAGTATACACTGTATTCATACACATATCCATTCCTACATTCACACGATTCACCAATTGTTACTTTTAGCCGAATCGTTTAGCACAGCAATTTGTGCTAATAAATTTTGTTCACAGGGACAAATGTATACGCTATCTTTCGTAAAAGGAACTTTCAAATTTAGAATATGAAAGAGGTTCCATTCGAGCAACACTCCATGTAGAAACTGAGCTGCACGAAGAACAAATTATCATTAATTAGAGATTATTCAGTCTACAGCATTTAAAGTACTACCGTGGCTGCGTTACGTTTCACGCATGATGCGCATGATTATCCTTTCACCTTTGTTTAACATGATGAACAACAAAAATACCATGATATATATCATGCACATCATGCGTGAAACGGAACGCAGCCCGTGTGTTTTGAACAAGTTCTGCAGGTCCGTTTGCGTTGCTTGTACTCGGAGTGCGGCTTGTATTCACTTTTTGCATTCAGAGTCTTTCCTTCTCTCTCTCTCTCTCTTGCGACACCCGAATGTGCGTATTTTATTTTATTTTTAGTGCAAAATTTTTTGAGGACTTCAAGCAACGCGAACAAGCCTAGCCTCATTACGGATGGAATTTTAAAAATCTCTAGACCGTGGAATGTAATTCCGCGTCTGGTATTCTACTTATCGCGCGATCGCGAGAGAGAGAGAAAGAGAGAGAACTATCGAGATGACGAGCTGCATGCTTTTGTCGCGACTTTTTGCGCAAATTTTCGCAGGCAGCGTTCAGGATCGCGAAACGACGCTGGGTCTCGAACAGTACTCGTCATTTAACCCCCATTTCTTTAACCGTGCGCGCACAGTCGCGTGTCTCTCGCGCGTTCAACGGTTCCCCCGGCGAGCGTTCGATGCGCGAGTGAAACGGGGAGGCCGTTCCGGGAACGTCGCGCCGTCGTCGTCGCCGAGGAGGTGAGAACGGACGGTCGGCTGCGGCCCGCGGGCGAGTCGTGCCGCAGTAGGAAAACAAGTGCGTACCATTAGAAGCCTGCATGTCCATGACAAAGAGTCGCTCGTGGGTTTCCTCGGATGTTTTTCCACCGGTATTACCGCAGTTCACGCTCGTCGCAGTGCACTAGTCCCATCTCGACGGGCGCAAAGCACATCGCCACCGCGTGGAAATTCGCCTCGCCCAAGGACGGAGTCAGTCAAAATACTCGAAATCCATCCTTTTTCGCGACATCCCCGAACAATAGGGCAAAACATTCGGCGGTAGGCCGTTCGCTTCGCTCCCCCCACTATTTTCGTTGTCCCCTGCCCTGCCAGGGCGGGCAACCGCCGCCGGTGGTGGTGCGGAACACGTTAGAAGCTCTGTAATGGCGGATTTGTCCGCGGGCGCGCGCGACACTCCGCACGTCCAATAGGAGAACGAGGTTCTCTTTAGGGCGAATTCACATCGGGACGCCAGACTCGTCATGAGCGCGGCGGCAGAGAGGATAGAAGACGGCCTTTTACGATTTTATCGATGATATCAGAAAATGTATGTAGCTGCGTAATAATCATCTAAAAAATGCACTTTCCACATTTTAAATATATAACTATAAAAGGCGCGTGTATCAGTTATTTGAAACATGGAAAATGTATAAACGCGCAAAAAATAAAAGTAGGACGCGTAGCGACGCCGGCCGTCGTAACGCCGCGCCACTCGAGCTGCGCGGCGCGCGTCGTTAATGTGCGCCGTACACGCTGCAGTCTGCTGCAGTCTACACGAGAGTGATGTTGTGCGATACGCCGTTCGTTTTACCGAAGAATCTTTAACAATTTATTTGCGGTTTCTCGGGCTTGATCCGCCTGCAGTTTACTGAGCAAGCGCGATCGTACACATTATGGTAATTGCATACATTCCGGGTGCACTGTGACTGATATTGAAATGGACCGTGTAACCTACAACGTCATTGACGTTTGCCAATTTTCAACATCAGCGAAGCTAAAATATCCGAATTGCAAAAGGCATTATACGGAAAAAAATATCTATTGCACAGGATATAGCGATTAAGATTCCGTTTTATCAATTTAATTAGATAAGCATGTTATTGCATGACGCGCACATTCATTCGACATTAAGCCCCATCTACATAAGTCGCAAATGCAAAACGCAAACGCAAACGCGGACGTTTCTCTCTTTCTTTTCTTTTATTTTTTGATTTGACGTTTTGTTCTTTTTTTTTCTCCGCATTTGCGTTCGCGTTGTGCGTTTGCGACTTATGTAGATGGGGCTTTACAAACAGTTCACAGTTTACAGAAATGAAAGTTTTTTTAAACATATTAATGTATTCTTTTTTTTTGGCAGTCCGCCATATTTAATTTTCAGAGCCTGCTGACTGTAATATTGTTGCTAATATGCACCTGTACTTACATCAGATCGCTCGCGCCGAATTTGTTTGACAAGCGGCTGGGAAAGGTTGGGTATGTAAACACTTTTCGTTAAGCATCTCACCGTTATATATACTCATATATTACGTGTATATATTTAATGAGCTCGTAATTTTAGTTTCCAGGGTACTTTTTGGAAATGTGCTAGGATTGGGGAGAGAAAGAGCCCGTATGTGGCTTTCTGTTGCGTCTGTATGGCCTTTAGTATTTTATTTTGGTCGTAACATTCCTACCTGGGTCATTTGGACCAATGCATTTGGTGTGTATTCCAAAATTATACCTTAATATATATATATTTATGTATCTATAAGGTCCGAGATATGAGAAAATAAAAGGGGCAGTTTTGATATCCGTTTGTCGACAAACAGCTATATTTGTCGTTTCAATAATACATAAAAAATACACTCGTTTAAGCTAGACTTAAAGTCAAAACGAACGTTCACTGCTAAATGCAATAGTTAATAGTTTTTTTTTCTTTTTATTTGTCAACACGTTATTCCCCCCCCCCTCCCCCTCTTCAAAGCCATATCATCCAATTTGAGCACATTTTCTCATTGTATTCTCATAATATATTTTTTTCGTCCTATAAACAACAACATTCTTTTAATATAGTTATTGTAAAGTTATTATATTGAGCATTCTGTGATATACAAGGTTCGTTAGATAGGTACATTTAACACATTTTTTGCTCTGTGTGGGATATGCTACCTTCTCCGGTGACAGTAAAACCACGTGATGTAACTAAGACTTGTACTCCATATCGATGGACAATTATAGCATTATTTAAGATCGTCGAATCAACTTTTATCTCTCAACTTTAATATTACACTCCGAGTTGAACATTGCTGATATCGCTTTACACAGCTGTCTTAATTACAGAGCAAGATATGCTTCACAGTTTTTGCGAGGAACATTAACTGAATGATCTTCGTGATATTGCTAGAAATTATAAGATCATTTGCTGTCAACTTCTCGTATTTTTATACATAACGTACACATATTACCTACGCCATCATATACATGTATCATCAATGCACATGTGCAGTTCTCGAGATGATAGCCGAGAGTATCTTATACAAAAACTGGCAAAGCCGAGTTTAATTTAACGCGTTTTATTTAAAAAGCGATATACATCGGTCATCCCCTCGCGTTTAACCACTTATGCTACACCTATAACGTGGTCTTTGCTCCGTTACCGACATATATTATATAAGGTACAGTATTTGTTTTCTCTACAAGTATAATTTAAAAAAATACATAAAATAACCGAAGTGACCTATAATATTTCCCTAAAGTGTTCGGTATGCTAATATATGTGCTACAGATATGGATCTTATTTTTCGGATATGACGTGATAACGCTCGCTATGATGCCAAGTATAATATTGATTCGCTCTCTCTCTCTCTCTCTCTCTCTCACATCACAATAAACAAAGATATTTATCGTCTTATCTCTTACATACAAATTAGTATGCTAATTATTTGTCTGCGTTTGGGTACGATCGCACATTTGCTCGGAAAGTTCGTGTGATTCATCGATGAAGACGTATTACAATGGCAACGTAACGGATGTTCACTTTAACTGAGTCGTCACTGTCGTTACGAGATTACATATGCACATCAAGATTGCGATTCGCAAGCGATTAAACTCTCTGCGGGTCGGCAACGGCAGTGACAGCTCCATTTCAGATAGACACCCTGCATATATAAGGCTTTTAACGCTAACGTTATAAAATCACTCCAAGTTATTACCTATTAATCTCACAAAAAGAAAGAGGAATAATCACTCGTTTTGAACTTCATGAATTGAATAATAAAAATCTCTCCCTCGTATTTTTAACTCTCAAACAGCCAGCGATGCCTGAAGCTTCTATTTTTTTTTTTTTATTCAGTAATTAAGTGTCAATTGAATTTTTTCATTTATTTTTATTATTTATTTATATTTTAATATGAAAAACAAATAAGTTTGTGGGTATAACACAATTAAAATTGAATGATAAAAGTTTATTTTAGAATACAAATAAATGTAAAATTTTAGTACGGCTTGGAATAAACTATACTAAGTGTGCTGCTGTTCGAGAATTAAAATTATCCGGATGATATTATATATTTAATCTCCAAACCAAAGAGAGCACGTTTCATCCCCGAACTTTTCGCACGTTAGCAACGGATAAAAGGGTCATAAAAAATACATTCGTAAGCGTCTTTCCGTAAAAATCCGCAGCGGTTATCTCGGGCAACATTCGCTCGCATTAACGGATCAGACTCTTTCTTCCTTCCCCCCTTTCCCTCTCGTTTCCCACCTAGCCATGCGACCAAGTGTTCGCTTCCCTACGATCTTACCCTGTAAAAGCGTCCAAGCGTTCGCTTGCCTTTCGATCTTTCCTCGTGCTGCTAAGAATGTTGATCTGGCTAATTAAACGGCACAAGTTCTTCCATCAGCCCCTCGTCGTCGTTGTCTGAGAATTGTTACCCCCCCTCCCCCCTTTCCCGCCCCGCGTTTTTCGTTCGCGAGACTTCTTTCGCTTCCCTCGTCTCTTTTCGTCCGATCGATGAACGCAATTCCATGCTGGCTCACGGAGTAATTCCTTTCGCGAAGGGGTATCCATCGTCGTCGTCGTCGTCGTCGTTCACGTAGTTCCCGTCACCTCACGTCTTATCGCACTGTCGAGAACAATATGAGACAGAGCGGCAGGACGATCCGCTTGCTGGCGATGATCGCGTTCGCGACGCTGCGATCCTTGAGATTCTGCTGGTTGTCGTTGCGGTTGTTATGCTTAAAGGCGTTACCCTGGTCCTTGATTAAGGGCGCGCGCGGATCCGCGGTGGTCGACGTGGTCGCGTACCTGTTGTAAACCAATCGCGCGGTGCTCTTCTGCATCGCCGGCGTGCTCACCTGCTGATAGACCCGATTGACCATCGTCCCTTGCCCGGGCTTTGACTTGCCTCGGTTCAGTCGCTGCTTCCAGTTGGTCGAGGTGACGCGATTGGGCACGGTTACGCGCTCGATCTCTGAAAATATCCACATGAATCATGGACAGGGTAAACCAGACGCTTCACTTTTCGGACGTGTCTCTTTTTTTTTTATTTTTTTATTTTTAGAATCTATCGTGTTTTTAGTCTTTATCTATACCGTCGGCAATAATAAATTTAAATGTATCACACATGTATGAAGATCCGAAAATATACTGTTAAGAACAGTTAAATATTCTTCTTTTTGCGATCGAAAAGAATAGCGAATTACAATACTATCTCGAATAATACTTGAAATTTTACATTATTTTTATATTATATTATTGTGTGCATTAAAAATAATGCTACGCGCCAATGACAATTATATTTTTATTGGAAGAATTTCTATTGAGCGCAAATTTAATATAACGTTTCTTATCTGATTGTCGTCAAGGAATGACGTATTTATTCGGTCTTGTGTATGTGTCGAATACTCACCGTACACCCTGAGAGTCGCCTCGGCTTTTCCCATGCTTGAGGAGGCTGAGCACGTGTATTCACCCAAATCCGTTTTCTCCAAGCGTCTTATCTTCAACACGATCGTCGTCTTCCATTCCTCGTCGGGGTCCCCTAACTCGTCGATTTCGTATCTGCCCCTGCATTGACATATCACTTACGTTTAACGTTCACGATAGGGAGAATAGATTCCGTTATTCGACGTCTCGTTAGTATAACCGGATCGCCGTCCGGCGATCGATATCCGGAATCACGGTGACCGAGGTCAGGAGCGATTTAGCAAAAAGCAATACGGAACGTTTTGCCTCTTATCGCCGTGGAGATTGTCGTACAACGGATTCGAACTAGGAGCCCGAGGATCGGTAGACCAAACTGTCAATATTGTCTCGGCACATACCCGCTCATGATAACTTGCTCCTTCCGCATCCACAAGTTAATCGTCTTGGGATAAGCCTCGATTAAGCAGATTAGCGACACGTTTGTATCCAGGGGTGAACTGAGCAGCTGATTGGGCGCTTTTGCGCTAGGAGGGACTGGAATGGTAAAAGAAATGAGAGAGGGTGCTGTGATTTCAGCATGTGTGCTATGTTTCATTTAATTTTTTATTTTTTCCGGTAATGCAAATAAAAGTTGTGTTTTTTTTTTTTAAACGATTGATCTCCCGTGACGGCATGATGGCGCATAGTAATGTTATTGAAGTATATTTTCTGTTATTGTTACAGAAATTATCATTAAATTGGATAAACGGACTTGTCTGTCTATCAATTGATTTCAATCTCAATTTGACAATGTTGGATATAATTAAATGTTATAAATTGTTTTCTAGTACTTACAATTTACTTTTAGATTAACCCTCTTGCTGACCGCCGGAGGCACTTCGTTTCTAGCTATGCAAAGATAAGCCCCCATTTGCCTCCTGTCTACCCTGGTTAATTCTAGCCTCTCGCCCGACAGGTTGTCCACTAGAAAATCGTACGTTGTATGAATATCTCGCTGAAAGCTGCTCCCTCGTCGACCATATAAGCCGACGTGTTAACGTGGCCTGAGTAATTATTCGCGAAATACGCCTTCGGGGCACGCAACGATAAGCAGAATATGAATTTGTAGCAAAATTTGTCGCTGGGATTTATTACCATTGGTCCCGTTAATATTTCTGCTTTAAGAAACGCGTTAACTTGAAGCTCAATTAAAAATTTAATTTCCATTTCATTTTTTTATTAAATTTAAAGACGTAGATATGAAATTTTTAAGATTTATTGCCGTTGTATTAACAAAGCTTGCCACAATATTTACATTTTAGCATGATTGATGAAAACGATGATCGATGATCGTATGAAACGAGTAGAAGTGTTATTAGAGATTATGACTCATAAGTGGCAACGATTAATTAATCTAGTTAATTAGAAGAATTTTCAATGTCGCGGGAGTCGTACGGTTGTATAAGGTATCCTATAGAAATACCGTTTATCACCAAAACCTAAAAGTGATAACGAAATTTTGAAAATTCATATTTCTATACTACGCGTTTACAATTTCCATTATCCAATGAAGAATTGCATTAGCGTGCGCATGCAATAGGCGCTTTTCAAATATAACTGAAAGATAATGAATCATATTATTATCGAATGAACGGCCGACATAAATCACATGTGGAATGTGTCGTTCCGTATTCGCGATAAAATGTGTCAGAAGTTTAATAAGATCGATCAAAAATACAAGATGCGTTGATTTGCTCTGACAGCCGGCGAATTCGTGTAGCGCTCGCACTCACTTGTATTAAATTAATAATTGTCGCATGTTTGATTGCTATTATCGGACACGGAAATAACTGTTTTCTTTTTATTTCGTAATTTAATTATTGCGCTCCAGATTTTCGTTAATTGTTAATCAAATAACGTGATATTTTGGAAAAGCAAATTATATCTAGAAGAATGCAATAATTTTCGTTATATTAGCAATGAATTAATGTAATTAATGGTATTATTATTATTATTATTAACAGTAGTATATTATATAACTGAATACAGAGTATTATACTGTTTTTCTATGTTGCAGTACATTAATATCATTCAGTAAAAGACAAATATTGATATAGTTATTTATGCAAATTCTTCTTCTATAAAAAATCAGAATAAATTACATATATATTTTACATGTCGCGGTCAATCTATAACAAGGACAAATAATGTCACAAAGCATCGAAAACTATATAATCTGATAAATGAAATATTTACAATGAATTTATAAAGCCTTTCATTGAAAAGCACTGTAAAAAAAAATTACTAAAAATATGTATTATGCGTTACACATCCTTCGGGATGCATCGAGCTATATCGGAAATCGATTGATTGCTAAAATTTGTTTCTCTAGCACGATGTCAATCATTTCAATTGAACGTCAATGGTTTGTACAAGCACACTCGTTTAATTTCGCGCGAGTCGCTGGCATTCGCATGATGTTGCAAGTATTTCTTTCAAACCGGTCGATATATTCGCGGCGCGCGCGATCCACCGCGACTGCACAAAATTCCTGGAGCACGAGGTGTCTTGCGAAATGCACCGGAACTCGACGTGCCCGAAGGATATTGAAAGTCATTGCGGACAAACTAATCTCTATTCGATGGAACGTGTTCCGCCGTAATTGCTTTCGATCGGGATCACCTACGTGTGCGAATTTACGATGTCTTCATATCCCTTTAAAACGCCCGACTATTTGATTGAGACACGTCGGATTACCGGGATTATTCTAATGGCGCGAAAGCAAAGGTATTAAAACGTTTGCGAAGATATTAAAGGTTGAGATTTTTTTCTAATTTTTTATACGGATTTTATGTACCTCGGGGGGATTTATTCATTATGTTTTTCAGAGCTTTGTAACGTGTTCGAATTATAGATTCCTCTAAAAAGGCAAGCAAGAGGTTTCTAAATTCTGAATAAAAATATCTTTCTGTCATCGATTGAGCATAAACCCAACTATAATTAATACACATTTGAATCCACACTAGTTATACGATGTAAATAGGAACGGGAATAATTAATTCTCGTTGTGCGGCTTTCCTCGCGGAGAGACACTTCATTCCGGAACAAACGCGCGTTTCGATGTAACGAGGCACATTGTTATAACGATTATGTAGATGGGCGAAATGACAATCCCATGTCTTGGTGCGATATCTTACCTTGTATCAACGGAACATCGTGAACACCCCTCATGAGAATGAAATCACTTTTCTCGCGTCGCCAAAACACGCGAGGCGGCGGCCGTCCGGACGCCTTGCACGACAACGTGGCGTTCTCGCCCTCGAGAACGGAGACCTCGCCGTCCGAGGTGCCAGAACTCAGAATATCGGGTGGCACTGGAATAAAAAGATCGGATAATGTTTCATCGGGTGTGCAATAATAACGCGTTTATATAGAATCGTGTTTAAATTAAACACACAACTCTGCATCGAAAAATTTATATTTACTGTGCATCGAAAAATTTATATTTACCATTTCGAACTAAAATAACGGACTTAAAATAAAGTTTGAAAAGTTTTTTGCGTGCTGTATGTGCTGATCTGCATTCTCTGATCTATTTAATTCAAAATTGACACAAAGGTATTATATATCTTTTATTTGACGCGCAGCGATACGATCGTCCCTCCGAGCTCGGCATTGAGAAAGATACGAGAATACAAGTGTTGTTCCTATGCAAATATCTACGTTAAAATAAAGCTAAAGTGAAATATGCAACGAAATAAGATAAAGTGAAATAAGCTGCGCAAAAAGTATCAGTCCGCGATAAGAAAGAATTATTTCACGAATAGTTGTATCTACTATCTAATCCACACAACACATATATCACAGTGAATTACAAAGACCGCGAAGAACACGTTGTCAAAAATTTATGGCTGCGAAACAAGAATGTTTCCACCGACGTAACTCCTTATGCGTATCCTCTGTAAAATTAATCTCCTGTTTTACTGGTATGTTTTTTCCAAATAAACCATCTGGTAACTGGCATTCCGTAAACTGCAATACGTAAAATTAATTTCGCATAAATTTTAATTGTACTTAAAAAAAAAACGATCGCGAAACTCTTAAATTAATATTTCATATACCATAATTCATTTCATTTTGCTACTATATCGGACTGCTGGGAACGGTGTAAAGCTCGATAACAAAAGAATAGTAAAACAGTCGAGTAACAAGCACGTTTCCTAAACTGCATTGTGTGTACGCGAAATGTAAAGTACACCGATCGTTATACCCGCGTAAAGCCTTCGCGGAACGAATTTCCCGATACCGCACGCGCGCCCATCTATCACAAATTCAACACGTGTCCGAGGATTATGACGCAATTTCACCCGATGTCACGCCCGCCGTTGTCTAAGAAACAATTTACGAATGGAGGATCGAAATCGCGTGCCACGCGAAACAATATATCTTCATATGAGTCTCTTTCGGGGCGCGCCTCCTTCCGACCTGCGGAAGGGAACGTCGCGGACGAAGACTGGCGGGTACGTGCAGGCGGGCCATAAAGAATCGGGTATTGCCGTCGTTTCTAACACGATTTAACCCAGACGTCGCTGCCGACGTCTTGGCGAAGACGATCGAAAAATCATCTCAAAATCATTCCCGTCACACTCGACGGAAATGAAATATCGGCGGGACATTCCTTCCCGGGGAACGGCTTGCCTAATGGAATTCCATCCAATTCGCGGAGCCCGTTCGATTCGTTTCAATTACAATGATCCAAAAGCTGAACAAGTATGTCGCGGGTATAACGTACTCTGCGTACACGAATCGAACGACAAGAGAGAGAGAGAGAGAAAAGGGAGATGACATTTTCTCGTGTTTCTACGTAAAGGAATTTCATTCCATTCGGCAGCGAGAGATTTTTTGCACGCTTTTTGGTGTCCGAACCGGGCACGCACGCACGTGATGGAACGCATTCCCGGCTTCGTCCTTTGGCCCATTCTGCCCTCACGCACAAAGTAGACGATATTATTCGCGAGCCGGTTCGTCGGCGCGATATAAAAGTGAAATTGTGTATTACGACGCCGTAATACGGAATACAACGAGTGTGCTGCGCGCGTCTCTTAACGTCGAAATTGAGGTGGCTTCGGGGAAAGGTTCGTCTAGCTAGGATATTACCGACGTATAAACCGGGGCAGAGTAAATATTAAAGTTGCGCGTGTTACGCTGATGTAATAATTAGCGTTAAAAGAAAATAATGTAAATTTGATAGAAACAGTTTTTAGTTCGACGTTTGCGTGCGAACTACAAAGTATGAGCATCCATCAGCTGACGCAGTCAGCGAACGCCGATAGACTTTCTGCCGGGTAGACTTTCGAACTTTGTTATCGCGTTTAATTAAACTATAAATTAAAGCGCAGCCGTTAGCGTTTCTTATATGACCGATAATGCTCCTTGTAAACTAACTCCCTCGAATCGATATTACATCCTCCTTCCCGGGGAAGGAAACGCGTGTTACAAATTAAGTTAGCAGGAATAACTCACTCACGGCGGACATGCCAAATTATTTAACGGGTGGAATTAAAAAAGAAAGGATCTGATATTTGGAGACCGAGATTTGAAAACGTCTCTTTCTAAATGGAATTAACGTCGATCTCTTGGAATATATCTTTCAACCGCATGAATTACTGAGCGCATAGCACTGCGACTGCTCAGTTTACGCATTGTGCTCCATGTCATCATCATCATCCTGCATGAACACGCGTAACGAGAGATCTCTCCGTATTGCGCGATATCCTGATGCACGTGTGCCACGTGCGTGTGTGCGGCGGCCTATTCAAACGCGCCGCTCCAGCGGCGAGGCACGCATATTTTCCGGCCCCTAAAGCCCCCCCCGGCCCCGGCCTAATCGAAACGCGCGATGCGATGCGTGCAGCGTGCGTGCGTACGTGACGTCTCTGCCAACAGCCGCAAACCTGGCCGGTCGGTCGGAATGCGACGTAACGCGTGCAATTAGGCATACCTAGGACGTCCACGCATCCCAGCTGGCTTAACATGGGCTTGGTGTTGAGTTGGCACATGTAGCAGCCACGATCGGCCTCCTTCAGCCCCCGAATATGCAGCTGCCAAGTGGCCTCCTCGTCCTCCCGCGATTGCGTCTGGTTCTTCGTCTTGGCGTTCTCCAGGGTGACAAAGAATCGCGTCGACTGGATGACCTTGCGATCCCCCATCGACAGTATCGTCTGATCCTCGGCACGTAGCCATCCCACCTGCGGAGCAGCGACAATAAAATCGAGACTTTCCTTCGTAGAAACGACAAAAGGCTGGAAGAGCCCGGAATTCCGCGAATTTTCCGTCAGCCGAAAGATCACTGGGAAGGATCAATCGGAGGGGTTGCGTCTCCCCGAGCGAGCGCGGATTTGAATCACCCTACGAATACCAGTTTCTACCTATGTAAATTGAAATTTCATTGAGAATGTAATGCTGAGGAATTTCCGGTAATGGTTTCATAAATTATCTTCCCATAATGATGCGTGAATACCAGAGTAAATGTATAGAATGTTTTGCTACTATTGTATCATTTATAATTGCACATTTGCAATATCAGTTTTCTTTGTAACAACGTGACGCACGACAGTACGGACAATATAACAGTTTCCTGCTGAAGAAATCAACAGGAATCATCTGCCGTAAATTTTCTGCGATTCTCGAAACTAATCTTTCTGCTTTAAAAAGTAGCAGGGGAGGATCACCATTGGAGAAACGGCATTGCCTCGCTTAAGTTATCCTCCCGTCGCGGAATGTTATTTTTACGCGACTTTAATGGAACTGCGCGAACGTCTGTTTTATTTTCCAAAGGTTAGTGAGGTAGATGCACTAGTGGAATATCCGCTTAAGGAATATTGTTAAATGCTACGACTTCTCAAAGGTCCTTATTAGAAATGAAAGAAAAATATTAAAGAAAATTATTATAAGATCACTTGAGTGAACTATCATTTTAATAAAAAAAAAATATATTTAAATGTATTAAAACTCTACATTAAATACATTTTGAATATATTGAAAAACTCATATATTCACTGACACAAATAATCTATATAGATTTTGTCGTCGTTCTTTGTTATACGTTTGTTCTATATTTTTTTTTCAAACAGTTGGTCCAAGCTATTAACTTGGGACAGCTCGGTGCCATAACCCATAATGATATTCAGCAACCGCGCACCGAGATTAACATCAGACATCGTCTTTCGCTCGTGTCCCGCTACGGGTTTGACGAAGCCAATATGAACGAGATGCTCTCCGAACAATATTATATCGCGCGCTATCGTCAAGTGCACACGTGTGTGCCCGTGCATGTATTCATACGTGTGTGTACGTGTGCACGTCGGCAGTAATTGCTTTTAGGCAAGTACGCATATTGTACCGGCTTGCACCCCCGGCTCGGGTCGGGGCCGGGCCGGTGCGGTTGGCGGCGGCATTGCAGGAATCAGCGGCGACGAAAGGTTCAATTTAACGTCGTATCTGGGTACCGTCGCTTCACTTAACCGCCGCCAGCCTTCGTCGCGTTATCTCTAACGATGCACTTGGTAATTAATCTCAAGTGACTGTTGTGCGACCCATATAACCACCTCTGGCCATACGCGTGCGGCCGGCTACATGCCGCACTGGGGCGCAACCTGAAGTGCTGTGTCACCTATACACCTGTGCGACACGCGTCTACCTCGCCGCAACCTCAGCGGCAAAGCCTCAGACGAAAGGGGTGATCGCTGAAAACAGGATTGATCGGCCTTAAAGACGCGCATTAATATAACATCGAGGACGTCCACTCGACACGCGTTGATACCGAATTAACCGTACAGTTAATTGACCGGGCACAGAAACATATCATAAAAAGTAAATTAAAATTTTGCCCTTTCAAGAGGAAATTCACCATTCAAGCATGCACCTAAAGATTATATGAGGTGTTAGATAAAATACTACAAATTAATATGACAATTTTTCGAATCGATATAAATAATTAGTTTGATGTCAAATTTTGGATTCATCTTCCAATAAAAAGTTGCAATATAAACATACAGTTGCATTTCACAAGTTTTTTTGTAAAACTTTTCATTTTTCAAAACATGAAAGTGTACTATCTTGACGCACATAGATTAGAAATTAGAAAAGTAAATTTATTTTCTGTAAAACTAAAAAATAATTTTGAACTTTTTTTTTCTTTAAAAAAAAACGATTGATTATATATGATTCTCCGTAAGAAAAGGAGTTTCTCTTTGTGAAACGGTGCTATTTGCGATCATGGTAATGGGAAAGCGGCGAGCCGTGCGCCGCATAGCTTAATCGAATCGATGTATAAGTAGTTCAATATAAATCGAATTTCCGGTAAAAGCGAGCATTTACGCGAAAAACGGAATGCCTTTAGCTATCGAAGAAACGGAAAGGGGTTAAACGAGAGAAAACTGAAAGATGACGGAAGTCGCCGTTTGAATCCTTTCTTTATCGAGGTACAATCGACGACGCTTTAAGTACATTGTCACGAAGGAATAACAGTTTGTTCTCTATGAAAGGGGAGGCACTATCGGCGCCGACTGTAAGGGGGAGAGGGGGGGAGGTCATTATCCTTACGTAGAAGATAACGATTCGTTCGATTCTATCCCGGAATAATACCGTCTCTCCTCCTTCTGCGGAAACGGCATGCTTATCGTATAAAAAGCACTTGAGGACTTAAAACGGCGACTTAGTTCGGCATTTTGCATGGTCACGATTCTGAAAACCGGCGCGGATATCCGGTAGTAATCCGTGATTCGGAAGGATGATTAATGAAATATAAATCTGAGGTTTCTATTTCGCTGCACGTTTAGAATGGCGCCTCTTTCTTTTATCTTCTCGTTGTGATTCCAATAATAAAGGGCATATTTCAGTCGCTAATCCCCTATCGCATAGTTTGATTGGATTTTCCCCCGGGGTTACTAGGATATTGAGAAAGGGAAATTTTATTGTAATATTCATGTAGGCGCATTACATCTCGAATCCATTTGCATATAAAATCGAATATGACATATCAACAATTTACGGTTATTTAATTATTTGCCCTTCCTTTGGCAGACAGACTTGTAAGAGTAGCCGGATATATTCTTTATATTTGAATATTCTGTTTTTTTTTTTAAGTTTAATTGCTAGTAATTGCGCCGCGTATACTCGATTGACTTTCAGAGGATGGATGCGGTTGATTGCATCGGTGTCAAGACGGCTTTCTTCGTTATGAATGCTCAATATGCTTAGTGATAATCCTCCGCATCAAAGAGACTTCGATATTAATTAGAGATACAAATCTTCTCTTCGCGTACAAAGCATTGGAAATTTCCTTTAATTAAATATGTAAATAACGGACAGGACTGCATTTAATGCAGTTTACTGCTTGTGGAATATTAAAAGTATAGATGGAGAACCGTTTAGTTTTGATAATGGACGATTTGAATAAAAGTCAACTAATAATTTTATACATTTGTTCGAATTATTCAATAATTATACGTTTATATAATAGTATTATACACTGAGACACATTTAAGAATATTAATGTCGATTAAAACATTAAATCATCAATGTATTTATAAGCGTGCATCGTTGAGAGAAATACGAAATTAATTTAATATTAAAAATACGACTATGATATAATGGAATATATATATATATATATATATATATATATATATACATATGTTCCATTATATTATACCATATATTAGTCGAAACGTGCTAAATAAATCGTATCTGCACGACAATTATCAAGTACTTAATTGCTTGATCGAATCTATTGTAGTAGATCGCGCGGAGTGATTGCGCGCGGAACTGAATTTAATGAGATTAACAGGATATTCGGTGCGTAATCTGCTTGAGTCCTTTGAGCAGGATAACTGATTGAGAATCCCGATAGAGAACGGTACACGCCAATCGTTGTATACGATTTCTTCTTTTCGTCGCAGTTCGAGAGTTACTTCTCCCGAGTGTGCAGTTTCATTGTGTGCCTTAATTTAATAACTGAAATACTATTTCTCCAGTTATTCGTACGTACGTTCGTACTCTCTTTCGCGCTACCCCACGTCTCCGGGTGCGCTTTTATCCGGGGATTTTCCACGGTCTCGTTACAACAAGAAGCGTTCGTTGCAACAGGAAGAGACGTAGAGAAAGACTTCCTCTCCCGGCTGATAAATTAAAAACGAGTTCTATACTTACCCGGACGGAACCGCTCGACCGCCATTTCCACCGCTAGCCTTTGTAAGAGCATTAGCACCTTGAATCTAAAGGCTTACGTTCTCCTCGGTCGCCGGGGTATAAATCTACCTCTGTGAATCGTCCTGAACCGGTGCCGGCGGCTACGAAGCACTTCAGTGTGTTGAAAGTCTTTCTTTCTCTCTCTCTCTCTTTCTGTCTGTCTGTCTTTCTTTCCCCTTCTCACATCTCTCGGCCGTCCAAACGAGGCGCAAAGTATTTTTCCTGGAAAAACACCTCCTGGACGGGCTCGAAGACTGACACACACCGAGCAGTTACGAAATTCCCCGGTGGGCACGTCTACGTCGGCGGCGGCGGCGGCGGCGGCGATGTACCCCTCCGGTGTAATATTTCGAAAGACCTCGTCTCACGAATCTACGTTAGCGCTAAGAGATTGCTCCCCCACACCCCTTTACCGCGACCGCCACCCCCTGCCCAGCCATCTCCCCCTCCTCTTTCCTCTTCCTCTCTCCATTGTAATCATGGAAACAATCATTCTTCTCTCTCCCTGGCTCCTCTTCAGTCCGACTGCATTCTCTCCGTCCTTCGCCCATCCTCTCTCTTTCCCTCTCTTTCTCTCTCTCTTCCACCACGGACAATCCCTACGCCGCGTTCAGTATTTCTCGTTCTCTACTCTGCCACTTCCGCCTCTGTTCCTCGTCTGTCTGCATGACCGTTCGTCTCTGTCTCGCTCCCTCTCTCTCTCTCTCTCTCTCTCTCCCCGCAAGCACAGCGGATTTTGGTGTGTCTCGTTCTATCGTTGCGCCGAAGGCAAGCGCAACGTGTTCGGGGGTGCGCGCGGGGAGGGATGCCGCGATGCGGTGTGCTGATGGCGAAGGCAATGCGACTGATGGTAGTAGTGTTAGTGAGGGTGCTGGTGGTGGTGACGGCGCGGCGGCGGCGAGCTACCCTTTCGCTCGCCTCCGCAGCAATCACCGATTTGTCTGAATAAGCCCCGGGCAAGTATATGCTCATGCTTACCCTGGGGAAACACCACTTC